GATGACTTTGGGCCAGTCACTGTCTCTTAGCCCAACCTACCTCACAGGGTTGTTGTGGGGATAAAATGGAGAGGAGAAAAACCTTGTAAGCCACCTTGTTTCCTTGCAAGAGGAGAAAAGGCAGGCTATAACTGTAATAATAAGAATATTCTTGTACGTACTGCAGATGACAACAACAACAACAAATTATTTATTTCAAATATTTTAAGCTGCATCTTCAGGTTATGCCCTCCGAAAGTGACATTCAGAAGAAGTAAGACACTACAAATTAATGGTCACCAGAAGTGGCATCCAGAATACTTTTCAAAGCTGCTCCACCCACTTAAGCTATGATAACAGTCAAAGACAATGTTGAGGAGCAATATCTTCAAGGCCTGCCTAAATGCCAGAACAGAATGTGGAAAGCATCCCGCAGATCCATTGGAAAAGGAATTCCAAAGAACTGGAACAACTATGCAGAAGGTCCTGTCTCTACTGCACACCTACCTTATTGATCTTAATGATGGGCAATCAGGAAGTCTCCAAGGTACATCCTAGCAGGGAAAAATGGATGAAAGCAGGCTTGCAAATAACCTGGTCACAAGCTGTTGTGGACTGTAAAGGTTTTAGGTTATAACCAGCACTTTGAATCGGAAACAAGAGAGACAGCAATAGACAACAGACAACAATGGCCCAGGTGAAGGGCATGCAAATGGTGATGTGCTATCACTGCAGACTATGTTGAAGTCCACAGCCGATTCATACATTTGGCTAGGTGACCCTTTTGTAAGTGCAGTGGATATGTGTTGTGGCTATATATTGGAGTAATTTGTGGAAACGTTTTCCTCTTGTTGAGAGGCAAAGATGCATCCATGCGTATGATATACATGGTGGGACTGTGGAAGCAGTCATATTTCCCTCTATGGAAAAAACTCACTTTTGCATGGATTGTATCTGTGTGCATGTGTGGAAGTGCGAAAGAGAGAGAGAGAAAACAGAAAGTTATGATAGAGGCTAATTGCATGTTGCCCATAAACACAGGTAATAGACCCATAATTACATTTTTAAAATTAAAGTTTCTTTGGGAGGGTTATTTGAAGCTGCAAAAGGACAAATCATGGAGCACTGAACCCTTCACCCCCAGCCATTATCTAACCCAAATCACTCCCACAAGGCATTCCAGAAGCGTATTGGCCCTTGCACTCTATTAGGTTTGAAATGACTGGTCATTAGTCTTGCCAAAATTAGTGTATATGAAACAAGGCAAGTGCCTCCCAAGGTGAAGAGAAGGTAAACAGAGGGCCATTTGTAGAACAATGGACAGATTTTGACTGGCAAAGTGGGAATTTTGAGTGCAAACTTCAGTTACAAAGAACCAGTGCTGAGGGGATATTTGTGAAGGATGACTACTGATAATGGAGGGAGCAGTAAAGCAATGGCGGAAGTGCTGGGGTGGATTAATGGCCAAGTTATTTAACAGAGAACAAAGGACTTTAAAGGATTGACTGATACACAGTAGCACTGAACCTTCCACATTTTCTCCACTTCTTTTTTATACAAACAAATTGTTAAATTATTACAAAAGCTTTAGAAAACCTATGCAACAGCCTTTGTTTCTTTTCTTAAATGTACAGGTGCTATTTTGGGGCAGTGCCATGGGAGATTCTGCCCACAATTTCCTCATAGTACATACTATTGACATGAAAGAATATATTGACTTACGTGAATTGTATAGTTTTGTTAAGAAGGAGTGTGTTGCTCACATCCTTAAAAGCAGTTCTTTAAAATATCTGTTCAATGATAGAGAACTGATTGTTTCCACATGCAAATTAATCAGTGAATCTTCCCCTTGTGAAAAAAGAAGTCATAATCTAAAAACTGTAGTTCTTGGATTGCTTAGTCTGATGTTAACTATAGGATATTTAAGCCAGAAATAGCCTGTAATGTCTGGAGTCACATGTCATAGAATCAGGCTTTTGTGAATGGGGGGGGCATACAAGTGTTCCAAATAAATAAATCATCTCCAACCAGGTTGCTGAAATACTGCATGCTCAAAATGGCAGCAGCACATGCCAGGCATAGAACTCAGCTAATTGTGATTTAATTAATCCACAATTTGCCATCATTACATGTGAATAGGTCCAGTACCTCTCACTTTCCATAGTTTTCCCCTGCAACTATTTACAATCCACTACAAGGACCTCCTGCTCACAAACCCTAACCTTAACCCTTCTATTGTAACACTCCTATATAGTATCTTTAGCAGAGGTATACCTGTGAAAAAGTATACCTTAAAGGTGTATCTTTAAATTTCATACACATTGCTATGGGCAGATGAGGAGGGTGGCCATGGCCTCAGAGATAGCCAACTTATACAGGAATGATTAAGAGAAAAAATACATTAAGTGAGGGAAACCTTTTGAGGGGAAACATCATACAATGGTGAAGGTACATTGATGACATCTTCATGCTTTGGGCTGGTTCACATGACTCTATCCTAGCCATTTTCATGTAGCTCAGTAATTGTGATACCAACATACTCCTTTCATCCTGATGTATTTCAAACAGTATCAATTTTCTAGAATTTACAGTGGAGGATTTCAATATGCTTTGCACATTGATGTACAGAAAACTAGTGCATAGAAATTCCTATGATAGCTTTCTCTAAAAAACATAATGACTCCAGAGGAATTACACAACTTTGATGCAAGCAATGAAGAAATTGAAATTGTGAAAGTTTACATATGTTGGCTCAGTCATAATTTCAAATGGAGAATGTAGCCAAGAAATTTGGAGAAGACTGAGACTTGGGCAGCAAAGGGGAAACTAAACTGAGGGCAGCAATGAAGAAACTAATTTGAGACGAAAGCCAAGACCATCTACACCAGGGGTGTCCAACCTTTTGGCTTCTCTGGGCCACATTGGAAGAAGAATTGTCTTGGGCCGCACATTAAATACACAAACTCTAACAAAAACTGATGAGCAAAAAAAAAAAAAGTCTGTGCATAATATTCATGATATCTGCATCCACAGATAAGCAAAAAAGTCCTCATATAACAATCCTAATTATGTGGCGCCCCGTTTGGAGAGTCTTTTAAAATCATTGAACAGGTCCCAAGTTTGCAATCCGTAATATAGAAAATGAACATATCTAAGTAATAAAACTTCATAGATTTTTCATATTTTTATTGTAAAATAAGGGGGCAATGTAAAACTAGTGGGATATTTTACATTGTATTTGAGAAACTAATGCATCAATATCTGGTTCTATGGAAGTAGTTGCAATTCTCAGTGAGTTCTCAAGGTGCTCATCAGATATTTTGGTCCTAATTTTACTCTTAGCATGCTTCATTCTTGAAAATAGTTGCTCACAAACGGAAGCCACATACCATAGTAAAACTGAAGCCACATATGCGTACAAATAACAAGAGCATACGTACATTTATTTTATGTGACATTGCGACACAATGTTGACATCTACGATGTTCACGCTAGAGAACCACACAATCGAGTTACAAAAAAACTCAATGTTTAAGGTAAGTTTACGATTTTGTGTTGGACCACATTCATAGCCATCCTGGACTGCATGCGGCCACGGGTAGAACACCCCGATCTACACTATTTCTTGTCACTATGTATAAACTGGCGTTAACATTTTGTTAACTATTTTCTACAAGCACACCACTCTGTGTAAGCACTGTTGAGGTAAAGAGAAATTGGATGTATCCAATAATAAATTTATCCTTAGGAGAGAACAGTTTTGGATTTTAAAGCTTAACCAAGTTTCTCCCAAGCGACTGAAGGAATAGTTGTAAATTTGATAACAATCCTGTAAGTCCTTCGATGTACAGATCAATAGGTATAACTTTAATTGGTAAAATCATGCAATCAGTGACACATAGGTTAGAGAGAAATCCTCTTTTCTAGAAATCAGCATGTGTGCATCCTTGAAATGGAGCTGACACTAACCAGCCACATTCCAGAGAGGGCAGTTGACTCTTGACAGATAACAGCAGAGCAAACAAAGGGCAATTCACACCAGCCCACCCCATCCTCCTTCCCAGCATCTTCTTTCTGCTTTGGTATGCAGGCAGGAAAGATTAAGCCATTGGAACTTTTTACTTCTGTAACCTATTAGAAAGTGTTGAGTGTGTTACAAGAAAACCTTCTCCCGTTGTGTATTTTGGGCATGGGCACACCAGGACACCGATCTTCTGGTCAACACTTGTAGCACCAAGAATAATTTCACTTCATAAGACAATATTATGTGGTGCCTCCTGCAGCCACTTAGAAGCCTATTTTTCAGAATGACTCAGCAGCCCACATAATTTCTCTATGTATTAGAAAAAGGTAGACACAGATCTTTTTACTATAACAAAGAGATTACTATTGGGTGAGTTTGTGGGGAGTAAATATCAAACTTGCTAGTGGCAGTTATGGTACTAATTAACTTACAAAATGAGTTTGTGAATGTAACAACCATGGTTTTTAGCATAGGAAGTCTGGGATTAGGTGATATAATTGGGTTGCAAATTTATATCCTGATGAAGGGTTTTAAAAAAACCTCTCTTCTTTGCCCTATTCTCAGTAAATTCAACCCAGCACTTTAACAGATGAAAGTAAATTTAAAGAATAACTAGTTATGATAAAAATGTTCATTGTATTAAACTTTTTTTGGAGGAGCAATGTGCTGAAAGGGTGGTTTCTACTCATGAAAAAATGCACCATGTAGTTAAGAATTTCAAGGTTATAAAACTGAAAATTGTTCTACAATTGTAAGCATTGCTGGGACAATATAAGGGCTGAGCAACTGAGAAATCCTGTTTTTCAAGATTACGCTTTATGGGAGGGCATTCCTGCTAGATGGTTTTTTCACGGGCCTCAAGTTTTGGTTGTAGTTTAATTCCAAGCCTATCATGTGTTGTGAATATGTTTACATAACGTGGGAGGCGCGAGCGGCCTGAGGCCGGGCGGGGGCGGGACGGAGCGGAGCTCGGGGCGGTCCGAGTTTCCGGTTTCCATGGAAACGGGCGCTTCGCCTTGCCGAGGCCTCCCTCTCTTTCCAAGAAAAGACTCTGTCGGGTTTGTGGCGTGGAAGGGGGGCGCGGAAAGCGTGAGGTGGGTATTTTGATGGGGGCCTGTGGCGGCAGACGTCCTTTCAAATCGAAAAATTCCTATGGCGGAGGCAGTTTCCCGATTAAATCCAGTGTAGTTTTAGTCGAAATAGACGGTTTGAAGGAGGGAGAATGGATTCGTGACGTTAGGAAACGCAAGCGTAGGTCACCTCCCTTTGTCTGCAGAAGGAGCTACACGCACACTTGTGTTTCAGAGCACACGATTTCTTGAGAACAGGCCTGCATTGGTAACATTGCGATTGCTATCATTAAGTACAAAGAAGTAAGGTTCTACACTTAATTTGGAGTTTATCCACGCTCCTGGACTTCAGACTTGTTGAGAACACTGCCACTTCTAAACTTTGAAACGCCCCCCTCCCTTTTCCGTTAAGATTTCTGCTGTATTGTCACATAATCATTACAACGGGAAACCTGAGGAGGGGAGAAGCCTTGGAAAATGTACCCTAATTATCATGCCCTTGTTGGAGATGGAATGGGTGAATCCTAGGGAGAAATGTTTGATCTCTGGACTTTGTTTTCACGTTGTAAATGCACAGATTCATTTGTCACTTGTGCATCTGTAGTAACACATGGAGCCACTATCGGGTAAACTGTCACAGCTTTTGTTGCCATCTTACTGATTTTTTTTGGTATTCTTATGCATGAACAAACAATCCCTTTTTCTCCATTCCTCCCTTCCATCACCTCCACGCTCATTACTCTCTCCTTCCCATCCATCTTTTATATTTGCATATCTAAACTAAATATAAATAAGGAATTAAAAAGAGAAAACAACCTGGTAATATTGTAGAAAACAGTCCTGATTTATAGCTATATTTCATAAAATTGACTCACTTCTGGTATGCTCTTTTTTTTACCCAGAGACTTGCACTGTTGACACTGAGCAGATAATAAAAGTTCCATAATAAAAATTAAAAAACACAGGTTTTGCACTTACACAGCATTCAGTATTAGGCTTGAGATAACATTCTTCAGATCTCTGTTGCAAAACACCTATTAATATTTTAAGAACATAAAAAGAGGCATGCTGAATCAAACTAAGATCTCTGAACCAGCATCTTGTTCTCACAATGGCCAACCAAAATAGCATTCTCCTGTATGTGTTATTACTGTTAAGGTACCCTATTGTAAAGTATGTTACATGAGGGCAGGGAACATCTATAATACCACTGGGTTAATTGGCGCAATGGGTTTTCCAGTTAATCCAGCTGAGCTAGCTAATGTTGGTGTTGCACTAGAGGTCCTGTACATTAATGCAGTGTAATTTACTTTGAGGCTGCTTTATGCAACCCATAAATTTAACTTACGGGCAGCATCTGACTGAATACTAGTGTTATACACAAAGAATTCTAAAATTAATTAAAAAAAACAAAAGTAATGTAAACCACAATCAGTATAATGCAAATACAAGTAAATGTTATATAAAACATAATTTAAAATAATACAGTCCCAAATGTCTTCATGCACAGTATGCAAATTTCTTCCTCTCTCTCCACAGCCAGAATGAAAATAAAAAATCAGCCCCAAACAGTTGAGCCATTATTAATGTCCAAATGTTAGAGAAAATAAGTACATCTTTGCTTGGTGCTGAAACTATGATTGCATTGTTGGGTTTGCTTGGAGAGATTGTTCATAATTGTGGGAAAATCCTAGAAGTTCATTCTCAAACTGCAACCCTATGAGCTCTCAGACACAGAAGGAGGTTCATATGGAGAGTGGTGTTCCATGAGGTATTGAGATTCCCAGCTCCATAAAGGTCAAAATCGGTACTCTGAATCTGACCCAGAAACAAATAGACAATCAGTGCAAGTGTGTTGTGATGCAACACAGATGTTTAGATCACCTAGTCCCAGTCAATAAGCTGCCTTCTAGCAACTGCCCTCATAACTGATATTCAAAGGATCACTAGTTTTGATATGCACATAATATATAGCCATCATAACTAGAACCATTGATAACCCTATGCTTCAGTAGCAAACTAATTTTCTGATGAATGTTTCAGAATAGGTAAGTACTGCATTTAGTATTGAAACTGCATCATATAATTCAGAATTCCACTGGCAATAAGGGTTATATATCTTTAATTATCCCAATTCAAAAATGGCAGATTCTAGAAAAATCTAAAAATCCTGAGTTTTGTGGCAATACTTCTTTAAAACTTCTGCAAGCATACCCTGAAAAATAAAAGCTGAAAATTTAAAATTCTGGAGTATAAAAGCCTTTCTTTGCTAATTGAAGTCAGGACCTATTAGATCAGTGATCCTCACACGGGGGCCACATCTTAAACCGAAATGTAACATAGCTATTAACCTGCCAATTTAGATTTTAAAAAATCGGGTCAGTGAAGAAATGTTAACTTGAATGCAATCCATTTTGGAACAATATTTTACTGTGAAATCCTTTTATCTAGCTACACATGCTTACCTAGTCAGTATGACTTTTGTGGCTGTTAGCCAAGGCATTAATGTCCAAGTCAAGGGTTGTGACAGACACCCTTAAAATGTCATGTAAATGTCCTGGCCTATACTTGGATTTCACATTTTCATCTTGGAAAAAGTTTGTTCTCAGATGTATGTAGTGCCAAAGACTGTGAACATGTCTGTAGCAAATTTCTTTGGGTTGATAAATATATCTGGTAGACCACAACAGAAATCTAACAGACTATTTTCTTTGAGATGATCACTGGTTTGCAAATCTTTAGTTCCATCTGAAAAAAGTTACTTGCATCTTCTGGTGCTACTTCAAATGAATTCTGAAAAAGTCTTATTTCCTTTCCATGCTTGTGGCAATCAGTGATTCTGTTCTGGAATTCCACCAGAAATAGGTTCAGTGTTTTGATGTGTCTTTCACTGCTGAATTATAAATTTCTGTTCTTCTCAAAATTTTAGTTCATTGCAGCATTAGAAGTTTGAAAAGTTACTTTTACTAACTTGCTTCAGTAAAATGTTTAGTTTTGCTTCAAAAGCTTTCAGTTTAGAATACATGTCACACACAAGCTTTCCTTTTCCCTGCAACCTTAGATTTAATGTCTTCAGATAACAAGGTGGATTTGATTTAAATCACCTTCAGTAAGACTAGATTTAAATCATGGTTTTCTACATAATTTGCATGCATGCCTGCTTTACCTGTCAATAGAGGAACTTCATCAAAATATTCCTAAACTGGGTCTCTTTTATAGCCTTCTGCTATTACTGTTTTTTTTTCCCCTCCAGGGAAAGAATACTATGATAAACCTCAGTTTCAAAACTGAGGTTTTTAGTTTCAGTTTCAGTTTTACTTCTTGCAGCTTCCTCTGCAGCTCTGTTCCACTCACAACAATCTTCTATTCATTGAATTTTTGAAGCTTAGTACACTGATACCTTGGCTCATGAACTTAATCCGTTCCAGGACTCTGGTTGTGACCCAAATTGGTCGTGAGCCAAGTCAAATTTTCCCATAAGGCTCAATATAATTAAGGTTAATCCATTCTGTAACTATTTTTTTAACTCAGAAAAATGTGAAGCAAAGTAACAAAGAACAACAAAGATCGCAGCCACCCCCCCACCCTGACCATGAGTGCCGCCATCTCCCTGCCCCCCCCAGCACAACCGCAGTTGCGCCCATCATCCCGGCGCGCTGGGGGGGGAGAGACAGGCGCGATCATGGGTGCACTTGTGGGGGGAGATGGATGCATTCGTGCTGGGGGGGGACGGAGATGGCCGAGATCGCAGTTGCGCTCCTGCAGGAAAGACGGGTGCAATCACAGGCACACTCCTGCAGGAAAGACAGGCGCGATCTCGGCCATCTCCCCCCCGCCCCCAGCACAATCGCAGCCATCTCCCCACTCGGGGGTGGGGAGATGGCCGCGATTGCGGTCGCCACCCAATGTGGAGTTCACGACCTGAGTCAAAATTTTTATGAAATTTTTGTTCACGACCTGATTTGATCATGAACTGAGGCATTCGTGAGCCAGTGTACCACTGTACTTAAGAAGTAAGGGGTTGATTCTGTGCATGTAGATTTGCAAAGGAACAATGGGATTAAGTTCTTCTCAACTGTATGTTGATTTTATAAATTTTTTGCTGTGAAGAAGAGGCATGTGCTATCAGCAGACACAAATTCACACTTTTGAGAACTGTAAACGGAAACATCAGTGATAATATCTTCTAGATAGAAAAAATGCCCAATAATCTTACAGAAACCTGTGGAAGAGTATGACATTGCACATAGATTAATGGAATTTACCAAAATATGTAAAATTGCATGAATTTGCAGCCCCATGCTATATAATTAAAAATGAATCCTTATTTCATGATTAATAACTTTTGGATTATAATGCATCTTAAATAGAAAACTATCTTTAGATAGTGATTTCCTCAAAAAACATTTTATTCTAAAAACCAATTTAAATAAAAAATCCAAAATCTGATTTTAAAATTTTTCTTAAAAAATTAAATCCACTCTGGCATGTCACTGCTATTCTATCTGTACATTTTCCCTTCTGCTGCCCTTCTGACATTTTTATATGCCCAGTTTTTCAAATGGAATTAATGGGATTTTACTCTGGATGGATTGTGTCAACAGTGATCAGAACAGGTATGGATTGCTAGCTTTTCAATGCTAAGCAGTTCTTTTACTTTTGTGATTTAATTTGTTCTTTTTAATAAATTTATTTTGTTGCTGACTAATTAATCAATTAATTAATTAGTACTCTTTAATTGTTTCTCAGATGCCTTAATGTTTGCATATTTAGCAGATAAAAAGGTGCAAGAGTAGATGAACTCAGAGCATGAAGGCATGGGGGAGCTTCAACATAACAATCAAACCTATGATTTCTGTTTCTGCAAGGGAAGGAGTGAAAGGCAGTGGCTCTCTTGCCTCATCTTTGATCTCTTAGGACCATTAGAAAGGCCTTGTCTAAAGATTGGTTTGCTAAATTTAAACAGTGAGGTATGCATCAAGAGCTTTTTAAAAAGCCACTTATGAAAGCTTTCATACCACTTT